ACGCGTGAACATCTCCGCGGTTTCCCGCGCGCGTACAAAATGGCGTCCCAACGCGTGAACATCTCCGCGGTTTCTCGCGCGCGTACAAAATGGCGTCCCAACGTGCGAACATCTCCGCGGTTTCCCGCGCGCGTACAAAATGGCGGCCCAACGCGCGAACATCTCCGCGGTTTCCCGCGCGCGGACAAAATGGCGGCCCAACGCGCGAACATCTCCGCGGTTTCCCGCGCGCGGACAAAATGGCGGCCCAACGCGCGAACATCTCCGCGGTTTCCCGCGCGCGGACAAAATGGCGGCCCAACGTGCGAACATCTCCGCGGTTTCCCGCGCGCGTACAAAATGGCGGCCCAACGCGCGAACATCTCCGCGGTTTCCCGCGCGCGGACAAAATGGCGGCCCAACGCGCGAACATTTCCGCGGTTTCCCGCGCGCGTACAAAATGGCGTCCCAACGTGCGAACATCTCCGCGGTTTCCCGCGCGCATACAAAATGGCGGCCCAACGCGCGAACATCTCCGCGGTTTCCCGCGTGCGGACAAAATGGCGGCCCAACGTGCGAACATCTCCGCGGTTTCCCGCGCGGGGACAAAATGGCGGCCCAACGCGCGAACATCTCCGCGGTTTCCCGCGCACGGACAAAATGGCGGCCCAACGCGCGAACATCTCCGCGGTTTCCTGCGCGCGTACAAAATGGCGTCCCAACGTGCGAACATCTCCGTGGTTTCCCGCGCGCGTACAAAATGGCGGCCCAACGCGCGAACATCTCCGCGGTTTCCCGCGCGCGTACAAAATGGCGGCCCAACGCGCGAACATCTCCGCGGTTTCCCACGCGCGGACAAAATGGCGGCCCAACGCGCGAACATCTCCGCGGTTTCCCGCGCGCGTACAAAATGGCGGCCCAACGCGCGAACATCTCTGCGGTTTCCCGCGCGCGTACAAAATGGCGGCCCAACGCGCGAACATCTCCGCGGTTTCCCGCGCGCAAACAAAATGGCGGCCCAACGCGCGAACATCTCCGCGGTTTCCCGCGCGCGTACAAAATGGCGGCCCAACGCGCGAACATCTCTGCGGCTTCCCGCGCGCGTACAAAATGGCGGCCCAACGCACGAAAATCTCTGCGGTTTCCCGCGCGCGTAAAAAATGGCGGCCCAACGCGTGAACATCTCCGCGGTTTCCCGCGCGCGTACAAAATGGCGTCCCAACGCGTGAACATCTCCGCGGTTTCTCGCGCGCGTACAAAATGGCGTCCCAACGTGCGAACATCTCCGCGGTTTCCCGCGCGCGTACAAAATGGCGGCCCAACGCGCGAACATCTCCGCGGTTTCCCGCGCGCGGACAAAATGGCGGCCCAACGCGCGAACATCTCCGCGGTTTCCCGCGCGCGGACAAAATGGCGGCCCAACGCGCGAACATCTCCGCGGTTTCCCGCGCGCGGACAAAATGGCGGCCCAACGTGCGAACATCTCCGCGGTTTCCCGCGCGCGTACAAAATGGCGGCCCAACGCGCGAACATCTCCGCGGTTTCCCGCGCGCGGACAAAATGGCGGCCCAACGCGCGAACATCTCCGCGGTTTCCCGCGCGCGTACAAAATGGCGTCCCAACGTGCGAACATCTCCGCGATTTCCCGCGCGCATACAAAATGGCGGCCCAACGCGCGAACATCTCCGCGGTTTCCCGCGTGCGGACAAAATGGCGGCCCAACGTGCGAACATCTCCGCGGTTTCCCGCGCGGGGACAAAATGGCGGCCCAACGCGCGAACATCTCCGCGGTTTCCCGCGCACGGACAAAATGGCGGCCCAACGCGCGAACATCTCCGCGGTTTCCTGCGCGCGTACAAAATGGCGTCCCAACGTGCGAACATCTCCGTGGTTTCCCGCGCGCGTACAAAATGGCGGCCCAACGCGCGAACATCTCCGCGGTTTCCCGCGCGCGTACAAAATGGCGGCCCAACGCGCGAACATCTCCGCGGTTTCCCACGCGCGGACAAAATGGCGGCCCAACGCGCGAACATCTCCGCGGTTTCCCGCGCGCGTACAAAATGGCGGCCCAACGCGCGAACATCTCTGCGGTTTCCCGCGCGCGTACAAAATGGCGGCCCAACGCGCGAACATCTCCGCTGTTTCCCGCGCGCAAACAAAATGGCGGCCCAACGCGCGAACATCTCTGCGGTTTCCCGCGCGCGTACAAAATGGCGGCCCAACGCACGAAAATCTCTGCGGTTTCCCGCGCGCGTAAAAAATGGCGGCCCAACGCGTGAACATCTCCGCGGTTTCCCGCGCGCGTACAAAATGGCGTCCCAACGCGTGAACATCTCCGCGGTTTCCCGCGCGCGTACAAAATGGCGGCCCAACGCGCAAACATCTCGGCGGTTTCCCGCGCGCGTAAAAAATGGCGGCCCAACGCGCGAACATCTCCGCGGTTTTCCGCGCGCGTACAAAATGGCGTCCCAACGTGCGAACATCTCCGCGGTTTCCCGCGCGCGTACAAAATGGCGGCCCAACGCGCGAACATCTCCGCGGTTTCCCGCGCGCGTACAAAATGGCGGCCCAACGCGCGAACATCTCCGCGGTTTCCCGCGCACGTACAAAATGGCGGCCCAACGCGCGAACATCTCTGCGGTTTCCCATGCGAGTACAAAATGGCGGCCCAATGCGCGAACATCTCCGCGGTTTCCCGTGCGCATACAAAATGGCGGCCCAACGCGCGAAAATCTCCGCGGTTTCCCGCGCGCGTACAAAATGGCGGCCCAACGCGCGAACATCTCCGCGGTTTACCGCGCGCGTACAAAATGGCGGCCCAACGCGCGAACATCTTAACGGTTTCCCGCGCGCGTACAAAATGGCGGCCCAACGCGCGAACATCTCCGCGGTTTCCCATTCGCGTACAAAATGGCGGCCCAACGCGCGAACATCTCCGTGGTTTCCCACGCGCGTACAACATTGCGGCCCAACGCACGAACATCTCTGTGGTTTCCCGCGCGCGTACAAAATGGCGGCCCAACGCGCGAACATCTCCGCGGTTTCCCACGCGCGTACAAAATGGTGGCCCAATGGGCGAAAATCTCCGCGGTTTCCCGCGCGCGTACAACATGGCGGCCCAACGCGCGAACATCTCCGCGGTTTCCCGCGCGCGTACAAAATGGCGTCCTAACACGCGAACATCTCCCCGGGTTTCCCACGCGCGTACAAAATGGTGGCCCAATGCGCGAAAATCTCCGCGGTTTCCCGCACGCGTATAACATGGCGGCCCAACGCGCGAACATCTCCGCGGTTTCCCGCGTGCGTACAAAATGGCGGCCCAACGCGCGAACATCTTCACGGTTTCCCGCGCGCGTACAAAATGGCGGCCCAACGCGCGAACATCTCCGCGGTTTCCCATTCGCGTACAAAATGGCGGCCCAACGCGCGAACATCTCCGTGGTTTCCCATACGCGTACAAAATGGCGGCCCAACGCGCAAACATCTCCGCGGTTTCCCACGCGCGTACAAAATGGCGGCCCAACGCGCGAACATCTCCGTGGTTTCCCATAAGCGTACAAAATGGCGGCCCAACGTGCGAACATCTCCACGGTTTCCCGCGCGCGTACAATATGGCGGCCCAACGCGCGAACATCTCCGCGGTTTCCCGCGCGCGTACAAAATGGCGGCCCAACGCGCGAACATCTCCGCGGTTTCCCGCGTGCGTACAAAATGGCGGCCCAACGCGCGAACATCTTCACGGTTTCCCGCGCGCGTACAAATGGCGGTCCAACGCGCGAACATCTCCGCGGTTTCCCGCGCGCGTACAACATGGCGGCCCAACGCACGAACATCTCTGTGGTTTCCCGCGCGCGTACAAAATGGCGGCCCAACGCGCGGACATCTCCGCGGTTTCCCGCGCGCGTACAAAATGGCGTTCCAACGCGCGAACATCTCCGCGGTTTCCCGCGAGCGTACAAAATGGCGGCCCAACGCGTGAACATCTCCGCGGTTTCCCGCGCGCGTACAAAATGGCGGCCCAACGCGCGAACATCTCCACGATTTCCCACGCGCGTACAAAATGGCGGCCCAACGCGCGAACATCTCCGTGGTTTCCCATTCGCGTACAAAATGGCGTCCCAACGCGCGAACATCTCCGCGGTTTCCCGCGCGCGTACAAAATGGCGGCCCAACGTGCAAACATCTCCGCGGTTTTCCACGCACGTACAAAATGGCGGCCCAACGCGCAAACATCTCCGCGGTTTCCCACGCGCGTACAAAATGGCGGCCCAACACGCGAACATCTCCACGGTTTCCCACGCGCGTACAAAATGGCGGCCCAACGCGCGAACATCTCCGCGGTTTCCTGCGCGCGTACAAAATGGCGGCCCAACGCGCGAACATCTCCACGGTTTCCCACGCGCGTACAAAATGGCGGCCCAATGCGCGAACATCTCCACGGTTTCCCACGCGCGTACAATATGGCGGCCCAACGCGCAAACATCTCCGCGGTTTCCCACGCGCGTACAAAATGGCGGCCCAATGCGCAAACATCTCCGCGGTTTCCCACGCGCGTGCAAAATGGCGGCCCAACGTGCGAACATCTCCACGGTTTCCCGCGCGCGTACAAAATGGCGGCCCAACGCGCGAACATCTCCGCGGTTTCCTGTGCGCGTACAAAATGGCGGCCCAACGCGCGGGGTGACGTCGTGTGTGTGTAGACCCACATGGAAGTAACGCTCCTGGCACAGTGACATCATACGTGTGCACAAAGGAATGACACCACAATCATTACAATAACATTAGCGACGATGCCGATGATGTCACGGCCAGTACACCTGTGACATCATCATCATCTACGCCTGTGACATCGTCATCTACGCCTGTGACATCATTATCATCTATGCCTGTTTCCCCAACATCCTCACGCCTGTGACATCATTATCATCAAGGCCTGTGACATCATCATCTACGTCTGTGACATCATCATCTACCCCTGTGACATCATCATCGTCTCTCCCCCCCCCCTCCCCACCCCCCAGGCTCTGTGTCGGCCCCCGCCACTGAGGGCAACGTGCGCCTGGTGAACGAGTCGCTGTGCACGCAGGCGTGGGGCAACTTTAGCCGCGGCATGAAGATGTGTGCAGCCAAGCGTCAGGGTTGGGCCAGTAGCTGTCAGGTGACCCCAACACTACACTATACACTACTACACTATACACTACTACACTATACACTACACTATACACTACACTATACACTACACTATACACTACACTATACACTACACTATACACTATGATGTGTGCCGCCAAGCATCAGGGTTGGGCCAGTAGCTGTCAGGTGACCCCAACACTACACTATACACTACTACACTATACACTACATTATACACTATACACTACTACACTATACACTACTACACTACTACACTATACACTACACTATACACTACTACACTATACACTACTACACTATACACTACTACACTATACACTACATTATACACTACACTACACAATACACTACAACACTATACACATACACACAAACACATACAGACACACACACAAACATACAGACACACACACACGCACGCACAAAGGGTGTCCCACCTGGGTGCTTGAAACATCATCAACGTCAATCACCACCGTCCGCCTTTCCGCCTTCCCCAGCTGGGCCAGGGCGGTGGCGTCTTCTGCCTGGGCACGGACAGGAGATGGTACCTGACGGGCATCGACAGCCGCCGTGCCGACTGCGCAAACGCCACCCAGCCGGCCGCCTACGGGCGCGTGTGGAAATCCCTCGCCTGGATCGAGGGGAACCTCCCTTACTGACGACGCAGACGTGCCTCTGGTTCTGCTCCCAGCCAGATAGCCGGATAGCCAGATAACCAGATAGCCAGATAACCAGATAACCAGATAACCAGATAACCAGATAGCTGGCTAGGCAACTAGCCAGCCGGGCAGGCAAATAGCCAGATATCCAGACAGCAAGCTAGGAAGATACCTACCTAGCTATCTATATAGCAAGATAGCCAGCCCACTAGCTGGCTAGCCTGCCAGGAAGCTGTCTAACCAGATAGTCAGTCAGCTAGCCAGACAGCCACCCAGCTAACTATCTAGCCAGATAGCAAGTCAGCTAAATAGCAAGCCAGCCAGCCAGCTACAATATCGAGATAGCAAGCACGCGAGCTGGCTAGCCAGATAGACGGCTAACAAGCCACCCAGCCAGATAGATTGATATCCAGCCAGCCCGATAGATTGATAGCCAGCCAGCCAGATAGATATATAGCTTGCCAGCCTGCTAACTATCTAGCCAGATAGCCAGGCAGATAGCCAGCCAGCTAGATGTTAATCAGATAGTCAGCAAGCCACCCAGCCAGTTTGCTATCCAACCAGAGAGCCAGCCAGCTTGATCGCCAGCTCGCCGGCGAGCCAGTCAGCCAGCCAGCTAAATATATAACTAGTTATCTAGCGAACCAGCTCACTATCTAGCCAGATAGGCAACTAGCCTTTTAGCCAGCCAGCCCAGCCAGCTTCCTAGCCAGCTACCTAGCCAGATAGCCAGTCAGCTAAATAGATAATTAGTTAGCCAGCTAACCATCCAGCTACCTAGCCAGATAGGCAACTAGCCTTTTAGCCAGCCAGCCCAGCCAGCTTCCTAGCCAGCTACCTAGCCAGATAGCCAGTCAGCTAAATAGATAATTAGTTAGCTAGCTAACCATCCAGCTACCTAGCCAGATAGGCAACTAGCCTTTTAGCCAGCCAGCCCAGCCAGCTTCCTAGCCAGCTACCTAGCCAGATAGCCAGTCAGCTAAATAGATAACTAGTTAGCTAGCTAACCAGCTCGCTATCTAGCCAGATAGGCAACTGGCCTTTTAGCCAGCCAGCCCAGCCAGCTTCCTAGCCAGCTACCTAGCGAGATAGCCGGTCAGCTAAATAGATAACTAGTTAGCTAGCTAACCAGCTCGCTATCTAGCCAGATAGGCAACTGGCCAGCTAGCCAGCCCAGCCAGCTTCCTAGACAGATAGCCAGCCAGCTAGCGAACGAGCCAGATATCCAGCCAGTCATCCAGCTAACCAGATCGCCAGCTAGCTAGCTAGCCAAGTAGCTAGTCAGATAGACAACCAGCTACCTAGCGAGATAGACAGCCAGCGAGATAGTCAGATAGCTACGACCAGGCCTACAGCTACCGCGATCGCTCTCGCTCTTGAGAGGGAAGAATGAAAGAAGGGATGACCATGAATGAAAAGTATATTTTTCTTTCAGTTACCATTTTACTATAAAATATACAACTAGCTGTACTAACGCGGCTTTCGCCCAGGACTTGGATTCACCACACCTGGCCGCCTTTGTCCCCCCCCCGCCAGTGGCGATGTTCACACACCACAGCAGTTACTCGTTTGAGGCTGAGTCGACCTAGGGGAGGTCCGGTTAAAATAATCGTCAGCGGTGGTGGCCATGAGCGGGAATCGAACGCGGGTAGCCGGGTTCGTAGCGCGGCGTAGCGCTATCCGCTACACTACACGTGCGCGGGTCACGTGACAGATGTGACATCACAGCTCACTTGCCGTGCACAAAATCTCTGCATTATTGAGCTCCTCCCCCCCCCCAAAAAAGTGTATTTTTAAATCCTTTATATTAAGTTCGCTTGCTTGCTTGCGTGCTTGCTTGCTTACGACCGTGTAAATCTTTCGGTCGTTTTTTAACCCACTTCCCGTGATCCAATCGAGTTGATATTTTCCACACAGACTCGTTGTGCGAGACAATTAATGTTCGTGAAAAAAATTCCCAAAATTGTACACTTTTTAGGCAAAAAAAATGATTTTACATATATTCAAATAGAACTAATTCATGGCTTTGGCTGAACGTAACAGTGTAAGAGCCCAGAGCGTAACCCCTCCACAGGCCGTGGCGGAGTAGCGCAGTTGGTAGTGCCCTCGCTTCCCATGCCAAAGGTCGCGGGATCGATCCCCGCGTCCTCCACAGGCGAATATATTTTTAAATTCTTTATATTAAGTTCGCTGCCACGCATATAAAGGATTTATAGTGAAAAACTTTGTTTTTACGGGTTGTACTTATTATAATGTTTGCATGGTGTACAGTCTCTAAAGTACCCACACGGCAAATTTCCAGTTTGTTGCATGTCGGGAAGTACGCAAAACATTTTGTAACAGACACACATAATCACAACTTTGCCTTTTATATATATGGAGATGTGTATTTTTTAATATATAGAATGTCTATATATATAATATATTATAAATCTTCTTCTTTGCCTTAACGGGAATCGTTTTGTGGATCGAGTTAAATCTCCAATTTCCGTTCGATTCTTCGTGCTTCCATCTTGGCTTTTGTGGCACTGACGTCACTCACGAGCGATGACGCTCGCTGACGTCACGGATGGCGGTGACACGGTGTTGGTGATTTGTGTGGAGTGGTTTTTTCGCGGTGTAAATTTTGTGTCCAATTTGTTGTTGTTGTTGTTTTTATTTTGGCGACACGACAATAAATGGTTGCGGATTTTGGTGACGGACAGACAAAGCTCCCCCAGGTAGCCTCTAGCAGGGCTGTAGGGGCAAGTGCTGCTAGTAGCGAGTAGCTCCACCTATGATGTACACAGACAAAGCTCCCCCAGGTAGCCTCTAGCAGGGCTGTAGGGGCAAGTGCTGCTAGTAGCGAGTAGCACCACCTATGATGCACACACAGACAAAGCTCCCCCAGGTAGCCTCTAGCAGGGCTGTAGGGGCAAGTGCTGCTAGAAGCGAGCATCACCACCTATGATGCACACACAAACAAAGCTCCCCCAGGTAGCCTCTAACAGGGCTGTAGGGGCAAGTGTTGCTAGTAACGAGTAGCAGCAGCACCTATAAAGGCTGACAACTGTGGCTACACACGAGGGGGTGGGTGGCCAGCACCACGCCCGGCCGCCTTTGTCTCCCCAGTGGCGATGTTTACACACCGCACCAGGTACTCATTTGATGCTGAGTCGACCTAGGGGAGGCCCGGGACCGGTTCAGATAATCGTCACTGGTGTTGGCCGTGAGCGGGAATCGAACCCGTGTCGCCGGGTTCGTAGCACAGCGTGCTAACCGCTACACCACCACTCAACACTAACACACACGCACAGACAGACGCACACACACAGTACTACACTGCACGTTAATTAAGCTCTTAGTTTTTTCGGTAAAGTCACGTAGGTAGTAAATAATGAAATTAAAATTAATAAAAGTAATAATAGAAATAAAATATTAATAATAAATTTTTATTTTGATAGAAATATTATTTTAATTTATTATTTTAATTAAATTTTTAATAGAAATATGATTTTAATAGAAATGTTTATTTTATTTTATTTTTATTATTACTTTTATTAATTTTAATTTATTTTTTTACCTACGTGACTTTACCGAAAAAACTAAGAGTATGAATCCTTGCAGTCACCAGAAGCTTCAAATCTAGCACGCACGTTAATTAGGCACCCTTAAGGTAGCCGCTGTTGACATCTTCACCGTGAGCGGCTTCGCCTCCCCCTCCCCCCGGCTCCCCCAAGTCGGCCCGTCACGCCCTTGTGTCAAACGAGCCGCGTCACGTGACAACTTCCGGTCACGCCCCATTGGCTCTTGTCGCGATGACGTAACGTACGCCCCGCCCCCCTCTCCACGGAGGGTCTGCCCCGCCCCACTCCCCTCCTAGCTCCTCCCCCTCCCCAAGAAATGGAGTCACACTTTGGGGAGTCGTGATGTCTCACGGACTAAACTAAGAACTAGACAATTTGTTTCGATTTAAAGCTTTCGTGACTGCAGGGATTCATCTTCTTGGTTCTTTCGGTAAAGTCACGTAGAAGGGAAATAATAAAATAAAATAAATAGCTATTATATTATTTTATTATTTTATTATGTTTAATTTTTATTATTTTATTATTTCCCTTCTACGTGACTTTACCGAAAGAACCAAGAAGATAGACAATTTGTTTTCGTCATTTGACCAGGTGGTAAGGCCCCACTGAGCTATGCTGTGTAGCACTCTTTTGGGAAATTCATAGCCTGATGAAGAACGCTTGTGTTGCGATCGAAACGTTGTGAGCTTTTGTTTTGCTTTAATTATTTTTAATTTATTTTAATTTTAATTTTATTTTTATTTTGCTATTTTATTTGAGTTCTTTTGCTTTTGTTATTTAAAAGTTAGGTATTATTTTAATTTAATTTTATTATTTTTATTTTCCATCGACGTGGCTTTACCGAAAGAACCAAGAAGATGAATTCCTGGAGTAACAAACGTTTAATTTCAAAATTTAAATTTATAGCCGTAGCCAAATTACTCTAAAGAGGCATGTTTCTAAAATGTGGAGGGAAAAACCTCAGGGGGGACACGGAGATAAAATAAATCCACGCGACCACCACGGGGAGAGAGAGGCAAGCGCCAAATACAGAGTGCTTAAAAAAAATGTTTTTAACACTTCTGAGAATTTGCAACAATAGCACAAGAAATGTGCCACGTCTGGGGGCTCTGGAGACCACCTGGAGAAGATTCCTGCGTGCGTTGACAACGATGGCCGCCTTTGTCTACCTCGTTGTTGTGAGCGTCGCTCCTCTGCCCTCCGCTGTTGTTGTTGGAGGGCGACTGCCTCCAACTGCCCGGTAGCTTCAGGGTGCACCTAGCCTGGCACTAGCCCAGTAGCGTCCTTCACGAGCCTCCTCCTCCACAGAGGCCGATCTTGACACCGCTGGTACCACTCATCGGCAAGTCCACTCAGCTCCACATCCTCCTGTACCACATCACTCCATCTCCTCTCTAGTCCGTGCAACTCACTCACTCACTCTCTCACTCACCCACTCACCCACACACTCATCCACTCAAAAACACACTCACCCACTCACTCACCCACTCACCTCCACACTCACCGACTCACCCATCACTCCATCTCTTCTCTAGTCCGTGCCACTCACTCACCCACTCATTCACCCACTCACCCATCAGCTCCATCTCTTCTCTATCCCATGCCACCAACTCAATCACCCACTCACCCATTCACCCACTCACCCACTCACCAACACACTCACCCACTCACCCACACCCTTACCCACTCACCCACACACTCACTCACCAACACACTCACCCACTCACCCACAACCTCACCCACTCACGAACACACTCACTCACTCACCAACACACTCACCTACTCACCCACACACTCCCCCACTCACGAACACACTCACCCACTCACCCACACCCTCACCGACTCACCGACACACTCACTCACCAACACACTCATCCACTCACCCACAACCACACCCACTCACGAACACACTCACTCACTCACTCACCAACACACTCACCTACTCACCCACACACTCACCCACTCACCAACACACTCACCCACTCACCCACACACTTACCCACTCACTCACACACTCACCCACTCACCAACACACTCACCCACTCACCCACACACTCACCCATCACTCCATCTCCTCTCTAGTCCGTGCCACTTACTCACCCACTCGCCCACTCACTCACCCACTCACCTATCAGCTCCATCTCCTCTCTCGCCTATGCCGCGCCCGTTTAGCTCCCCACTATCCGACCGGACAAAAGCTTTTTAGGAATGGGGTGGGTCGGCATGCGGGCTACGTGACCTAGCCAACTTTCCAAACGATGTTTATTGTTACCAGATGAAGCCCCACTGATTTGCTGTGTTGCTCTTTGCTCAGTAAGCGTGACCTGAACATCAACACAGAGACCCATAGACCCACTGAGACCCATACTCATAGAGACACAAACTCATAGAGACCCATACTCAGAGACCTACATAGATCCACAGAGACTCATACTTAGAAACCCATAGAGACTCACATATGCCATAGAGACCCACAGAGTGTCTGTGTGTGTCTGTGTGTGTGTGTCTGTGTGTGTGTCTGTGTTTTGTATATGTGGGGAGCGGTAGTGTAGTGGTTATCGCTGTGCTGCGCTACGAACCTGGTCAACACCGGTGATGATTATCTGAACCGGTCCCGGGCCTCCCCTAGGTTGACTCAGCCTCAAATGAGTAGCTGGTGCAGCGATGTGCAGTAAACATCGCTAGCACTGGGGAGACAAAGGCGTGGTGTTGGCCACCCACCCCCTCGCGTGCTGCTCGCTAACAGCACTTGCCCCAACATTCTGTTACAGGCTACACGGGGGATCTTTGCCATTGTCTGTGTGTGTCAGTATATAAATGCACACACGTCAGGATCCCTCGCACGAACACCCCCACCGGCAGCTCGTGCGGCTGACGGAGGTCTTGTAGAGGGAAATTCTTGCGCCACTGCTCTCGAAGCAAGCAGCAAGGAGGAAGGAGGAAGGGAAAAAAACACAACACAGGAGCTTTAAACTACACACACACAAAAAACAATTAGATAATACAACACACACACATTTATACATGCAATAATTAGTTTTGTTTCAGAAGAAGATCGATGACAATTCGAATTTAGAACGAAAGGAACAATGCCTCTGTCGGCGGTGGTGGTAGCGGTGGTGGCGGTGTTGGCGCTGCAAATCGGTGAGTTTGAGGGGCCGGTTTCTTGGAACGATCGGATGAGTCTCTATGTGGGTCTCTGTGGGTCTCTGTGGGTCTCTGTGGGCCATTGTGGGTTTCTCTGGGTCTCTGTGGGTTTATGCAGGTCTATGTGGGTTTCTGTGTGTCTCCGTGGGTATCTGTGGGTCTCTGTGGGTCTATGAGTCTGTATGGGTCTCTGTGGGTCTCTGTGGTTATATGAGTCACTATGGGTCTCTGTGGTTCAATTATTCTCTGTGGGTCTCTGTGAGTCTCTGTGGTTCTATGGGTTTCTGTGGTTCAATTATTCTCTGTGGGTCTTTTTGGGTCTGTGTGGGTCTATGTGGGTCTCTGTGCTTGATGCTCCATTTGCCACTACACGTGCTAGTAAACAACTTATAACCATTTCTACACTCCGTCATTGTATCCCTTTAAATCCTATCTCTGTCCCATTACTTCACCAGCACTCCTTCAAAACTTCATTCTGCTCTTTAAAATGTCGCATCTGCGAGCTGCTGCTTTTCTTTCAAGGTTTGCCGCTTTTCATCCTTTCACAGAAAATACCTGTGCCAACTATTAATTATACTTTTTCTTATTTCTGGGAGGTTTAGAGCTTCACCCTGGCCCAAATGTAAAGAACTCATGTAATTATGTAGGTTTTTCTGGCAGAAAAAGTTTTGGTGTCCTACACGTCGCCATCAGAGGGCTTGTAATTAACTTAAGTCAGTTTAACACGTAGGCTTTCGCGACCAATGTTATTCATAATCAACGATTTTTGGGTTTAGATCGCGTTTATTTATAAGTCAACTAACACTAGAAGTGGCAAATCTGGACCCAGACATTTTTTGCCTTACAAAAACATGTTTCACTCCTGCCGTCAATGACTTGCAGATTACGATTCACAACTATTACCTTTTTCAGCTTGACCGAGGGTCTAAAGGAGGTGGAATTGCCATCTATGTTCGTAGTAATATTACATTTTCATCAGCTCACTCCTTGTTGAAAAAATGTTGCTTGAAGATCTGGCTCTCAGAATCACTTTCCCTAATAATCAACACATATTGGTAGTGTGCTACTATAGACCACCTAGTTGTAAGGATGTTGAAGCTGGGACTGCACTGAGGGAGCTTCTTGGGGGCCTCCCTAAAGGTGAAATAATTTGATTGGGTGATCTGAATTGGAATTGGCTAAGCCCACCAGCCATGGCCACGAATTTCGCAAATGAATTTAACCTATTTCAATTAATAAATGTCCCCACAAGACCCAACCTAAACAAATCCAGGACAGTCATCTCTGCTTGACGTCCTGTTGACTAATGCCCCTCACAATTTCCCGCTTATCCTTCGTGATCACTCTTTCATATTTGGGGTGAGATCGTCAGCCAGACCCAAAGCCCCCCTCCCCTAAATTGGTTGATAAGCACTCCATGAGACGCTTCAGCATACAGGCATTTACTAATGATGTGCTTCACTCTGATATTGACAAGTTCTGCGATATTCCCAACCTGACTACGTCTTGGGAGACCTTCAGGTACACACGTTTTTCAAAATTATTGATTAACATGCTCCATTGGTTATATTTAAAATTAAAGGCAACCGCCCACCATGGTTTGATCCTTTGATTACTAAACTCATGAAAACTAGGAACAAGGCTTGGGCATGTGCTCAGAAAAGTAATTGATCAAAGACTGGCTAAAATACAGGACTTTAAGGAATAATTGTGGCAAAAAAAATACGGCATGCAAGAAATGCTTACTTTACCTCCACTCTCCTGGAATCACATGGCAATGCCAGGATCTTCTGGAAAACAATCAAATGTATCGAAAAGGCATCGAACACGGATAATCTGCCCATTGAGCTTAACCGAAATGGGGACTATTTTTCAGAGACCCAAAAAATAGTCGACAATTTTAACCTTAATTTTTCTGAAGCTGGTGACCTTTTTTTATAATGTATTGGGAGTCACCCCTGCTCATGCAATTTCCTACACCCCTGTCCATACATTACATGAATTTAGTTTCCAGCCTATGCACGAAAGTTATATTCTGAAACAACTGTGCTACCTCAAAGGGTCCTCCTCTACCGGAGAGGATACTATTCCCGTCTTTGCTCTGCTAACTGTTGGTCACCTAATATACAAACTTATAGCCCGTATTTTCAACCTGTCCATCAAAGACCCAGCCAACGCAGCCTTGCCTGCCGGAGGTGCTCACCGATGGGACTTTGTCCAGATCTATCGAAGGATGGATGGTAGGCAGGCCAGCCTAAATGTTTCTAACTGGCGAAGCTGTTCCATTAGGGGGATCCACGTTTCGCAAGCGTAGATAAGGGAGGGAATGACTGTGGCCGAGAAGACCCGAAGCTTCATGCGGAGCGACAGACCAGGTAGCTTTCACACAGCATCACGCAACCGATGAAAATATATTGCCGCTCGACTGATTTGGAGTGAGACCTCTGCTGTTAAACGCGAGCCGGTCATGAGCACATTGCCCAGGTATGGGAAACTCTCCACTCTCTCCACAACTGCCCCATCACCGATTGGGAGTTGTGGGGGTAGGTTGCCCGATGGTACAAAATACACAGGCAGGTGCTTCGTTTTGGTGGGGCTGATGGTAAGGCCCCACCTCTTAGCAGCACACTCCAGTTTCAGCAGCAGAGCCTCCAACTCCTCCTCTGAGTGAGCTGCAATTACCAGGTCGTCGGCATACATAACGTGGAAAATAGGTGCACACACACAGGTACACACACAGGTACACACACAGGTACACAGATAGGTACAAACACAGAGGTACACACACAGGTATACACACACATGTGCACACACAGACAGTCACACACACACACATGTGCACACACAGACAGCGACAAACACAGAGGTACACACACAGACAGGTACACACACAGAGGTACACACACACAGATACACACACAGCTACACATAGAGCTACACACACACACAGCTACATACACAGCTACACACACACACAGCTACACACACACAGCTACACACACAGCTCCACACACAGCAATACACACACAGCTACACACACGGCTACACACAGCTACACACACACAGTCTAGTTTTAGTGTGGGTCTCTGTGGGTCTGCATGGGTCTCTATGAATATGGGTTTCTGTGGGTCTGTATGGTCTTTATGAGTATGGGTCTCTGTGGGTCTGCATGGGTCTCTATGAGTATGGGTCTCTGTGGGTCTGCATGGGTCTTTATGAGTATGTGTCTCTATGAGTATGGATCTCTGTGGGTCTACGGGTCTCTTTGGCTGTCATTTGTTGATGTCCAGGTCACACTTACTGAACAAAGAGCTCACAGCAAATCAGTGGGGCTTCATCTGATAACAATAGACGTAGTTTGGCGAGTTGGCTGGGTCATGTAGCCCGCATACCGACCCACCCCATGCCTAAACAGCTTTTGTTCGGCCAGATAAAGGGAGCTAAACGGGCGCGGCACGGGCTAGAGAAGAGATGGAGTGATGTGGTACAGGAGGATGTGGAGCTGAGTGGACTTGCCGATGACTGGTACCAGCGATGTCAGGATCGGCCTCTGTGGAGGAGGCTCGTGAAGGATGCCAGTGGGCAATTGGAGGCAGTCGCCCTCCAACAACAACGAATTGGGGAGGAACGACGCTCACAACAACGAGCATAGCGCCGGGTAGCTAAAGCACAGCAAGTTGGCACAGTAGTAGTCGTCTCAGTCAGTCGATCTTTGGCATCTGGGTCTGCCCTGTCACCTCCTGCCAGCTGGCATTCGACACTTAACGTGGCCTCAAAGTGCACATAGCCTGGCACAAGCGTCGTGGTGACATCACCGCCACTAAGTGGCGAATGGCGGTTGTTGTTGAATGAGTGAGTGGCACGGGCAAGAGAAGAGATGGAGAGTCTGCGTCTCTCTCTCTCTGATTATCATCATCATGGTGGCTAGGAGATGTTAACTAACTCGCCTGGTCTACAGTAGGTTGTGGGTTCGATCCCGACCATGACGATACCTGCCGCTGCTGTATATTTGGAGTCTGCGTATCTATCTCACTCATCATCATCACGGTGGCTATGAGATTTTAAGTACCTCACCAGGTGTACAGGAGGTCGTGCGTTCGATCTTGACCCTGACGATGCCTGCCGCTATGTATATTTGGAGTTTGCGTGTCTCTCTCTGTCCGCGCGGTGAGATGTTTACTACCTCACCTGGTATACAGGAGGTTTCAGGGGTCCGATCCCGACCCTGACGATGACTGCCACTGTATATTTGGCGTCTGCGTCTGTCTTTCTCTCTCTCGCTGTGATGAGGCCTCTCCGAGTTGAGACTGGAACGGGTGGCTCTGGCTAAGCTGCTGTAGCTGGTGCAGGCTTCCATGTGGACGGGGCGTGCCTGTAGCACGAAGTCGTCTACCTATGGGAAGTTTTCCTTCATCCAATATCAAAGCTGCGAAAAAATAAGATTGGCTTTTTATACATTTCTCTGGCAATAGCAAAACAAGAGATGTGTTAAGATGTTCAAATGCCCAATAGGTGTGATACCTTTTGCAAGGAGTGAAGTCTGCATTAACCACGCACACTTTAAGTGCTCATTTGTGCTCAAAGTGTTTTTTCGCTTTAATCGTTTTTTGTTTTGTTTTTGTAATTGCCGTGTAAAGCGAGGAATATTGTTTTAAATTTTTATCGGTCGCCCTCATGGCCTCATTCCCAATCACAAACGATAGCGGCTCAGCAAAGCGGCCACTGTGGTGAGGTGTTCACCTTATGCGTCAATAATTAACAACGCCTACATCGAGAAAATAAAACCCCTCTAAAAGCGAACGACGCTTTTTATTTGTCGCTTCAAGAGTTTGTTTCTTATCGACCACCATGAAGGGTGAATTTTTACTGTCGATCGCGTGGCCTTATTCTCAAAAGTTGACCTCTCTCGCTTGCCCTGATGTTGTCGTCACTGCTTGCAGGGAACGGAGCCGGGAGCAGTGTGGGACGTCAGCTCTTCGGCGCATTTATGCCGAACTACAGGCGGATGGTCGACGCGCTTGTGGTGGACTTCGTCAGCTACAACAGCAGCGCTCAGGTCACCGTCTCGGTCCCCGCGGTGAACTTCTCGCAATCCGTCCTCCTGCCTCCCTTCTCCGTCGGCAATGTATCCATCCCGGTAACGGCAGAGATCGCAGAAAACGGCATCGTCACCAACAAGGTCGTGTCCGTTCGTTCTGACAGTGACATCTCAGTGTGGGGCATGTCCAAACGACTTCAAAAAACCGATGGATTCATGATGATCCCTGGGCAGGAGCTGGGAACAGAATACTACGTAGTCGCTCCTGTGTCTGGTCGTTTAACCTTGAACGAATTCGCGATAGTCAGTCCCTACAACAACGTGACGGTGCAAATGATTTTGAGCAGCAATGTTATTTTCAACGGTGTAAGGTACTCCAACGAACTGAACATCACTCTACAAGAGAACCAGGTCGTGCAGTTCCAAGGATCCTCTCTGACTGGGACCAGGGTACTTTCAAGTCAACCTGTGGCCGTGTTCATTGGAGATCGGTGCATCACTGTTTATACAGCTTGCAATTTTGTGACAGAGCAGCTTTTGCCAGTATCACAGTGGGGCTCCTCTTACCTGGTCTTCCCCGTGTCCATCAAGTCAACAAACGACAGCGTCATAATCACCTCGCCTATAAGCGCGAGCATCAGTGTCAATGTCAGTGTCGCTGGGAGTTTAACAACCCACACGTTGACCAATTACGGTCGCATCAGCGTACCTGTATATGCAAACCAGACTTTGTCTATAAACTCATCTGTAAATGTAGGGGTCATGTACATATGCCAGGGTGGGTCTACAAATCTAGGGTATATCATGGACCCATTCCAGATGAGCATCATACCGACCAGCAAGTTCGCTAACATGTACCTGTTTGCGACTCAACCAGATTTTACAAACATGTTGATCGTCATCGCCAAGGATGTAGACAAATGTGGGATCGTCATCAACAACAAGACACTGTGTGATAAGATCCAGTGGGTCCGGACAAACGACCTCCAGTTCGTGGCCGGGGAGCTGAACCTGGGACTTGGGAATCAGCAGTTCCGGGTGGAACACGCGACTCAGCCATTCGGGCTCTACCTCTACGGGGTGGCATCCGATGATTCATTTGGCTACGTCCTCAGCTACAGTAACCTAAGAGGTAACTTGTAACATGATCAGCCAGACTTGTAGCATCGCAAATCTAACTTCTACTACTACGATTATTATTATTCACTAACATACACGACGCCATTACAACCCCCACCACCACCCTCACCAGGCCCCTCCCAATTGTGACCTCGCCCACATCTGATTGGCTTCCTGTTACCACGGTGCAATGACGTCACAACGCCTTTGACATTACAGCCCCTCTCCTCCTGGTGGATGGGCTGAGTCTTTGCACAACTGAAGTTCTCCCTAATAGAAGTTATTTTGGCTGAAACCCACCACTACCCGACACAGCCAACTAGTAAGGGTTGTCACGGAAACAGAACATACCAATTCGTAACTAGTACAGCAAACCGGTGTGTTGGAGAGCCAAGCCACAACATTTACAATACGCGATCTAACCCAAAAAAACTCGATTGTGGATGATATTCGTCGCGAAAGCCCCCGTCTTAAAGCAACTGAAGTTGTGGGTTGGGCCGAGGCTGCGTCTGCTGTGACTCGTCCACTTGGCTTGAGTATTTAATTGAGAAACTGGAATGTGTTGCCGGCAGCGTCTCACATTTTGACCTCGCACGGAGACCCAGAGATGTACAGATACCCAGACTGATGAGGCTGGTTGTAATTACTGGCGAAACATCGAACTCCGATTGTAAACGTTGTGGATTTGCTCTTCGACATAGCGGTTAGTGGTGTACTAATATACTACATGATACACTACACTATACACTGCACTATACGCTACACTATACACTACACTATACTATACATTGCTCTATACACTACACTATACACTGCACTATACGCTACACTATACACGACACTATATGCTGCACTATACACTGCACTATACACTACACTATACACTAGTGCTGTATTAGTAACGAATTCGTACGTTCTATCATATGAAATTAAACCTCATTCCCCGCACGCTCGAACCTTTGACGGGTCTCACATTTTGCGCGCCCCCGGGGAGGGGGGGGGGTGGGTGGAGAGGAGTCGCGTATGCGAGCCAGCCCCCTTGCGTGAACTCACGCGATTTGACGCAAGGAGCCGCATCGCAACGCCACGCTTACCGCGTGGCGCCCGTGGAATTCCGCCGCCGCTTGCGCTCTTTCCGTGTCGGACGCAATTTGGTCGCTGGAAAACTGGCACGGGGTGGCTCTGCCTTGCTGATTATGCTGTTTTAGCCGGTGCAGGCTTACCCGTGGATAGGGCGTTCATGTAACACGAAATCCTCTACTTATGGGACCTTTTCGTTCGTGCTCGTATCAAAGCTACAGAAAAATAAGTTTGGGTTTTCATAATTTTTTCTGCCAATAGCAAAATACGAGGTGTGTTAAGAATTTCAAACGCCAAATAGATTATACATTTTGCAAGGCGTGAAGTCTCCATTAACCACGCACACTTTAAGCGCTCATTTGCGCTCAAAGTGTTTTTTTGCTTTAAGCGTTTTTTTAAAAATCCCCACTAATTGCCGCGCTAATCAGGGGATTGTTTTTTGTTTTTATAGGTCGCCCTCGTGGCCTCATTTTCAATCGCAAATGATAGCGGCTCAGCAAAATGGCCACCGTGGCGATGTGTTCGCTTTATGCGTCAAGCGTTAACAACGCCTACATCGAGAAAATAAAACCCCGCTAAAAGCAAATGATGCTTTAAGTTTGTCGCTTCAAGAGTTTATTTTTTCCCTCCTGCTTAACAAGCATCATGAAGGGTGATTTCTTTACTGTCGATCTTGTGGCCTTGTTCTCAAAAGTTGACCTCTCTCGCTTGCCCTGATGTTGTCGTCACTGCTTGCAGGGAACGGAGCCGGGAGCAGTGTGGGACGTCAGTTCTTCGGCGCATTTATGCAAAACTACGTGCAGGTAGTCGACGCGCTGGTGGTGGACTTCGTCAGCTTCGACAGCAGCGCTCAGGTCAATGTCTCGGTCCCTGCGGTTAACTTCTCGCAGGCCATCCTCCTGCCTCCCTTCTCCGTCGGCAATGTATCGATCCCGGTAACGGCAGAGATCGCAGAGAACGGCATCGTCACCAACAAGGTCGTGTCCGTTCGTTCTGACAGTGACATCTCAGTGTGGGGCATGTCCAGACGATATGCAACTACCGATGGATTCATGATGATCCCTGAGCAGGAGTTGGGAACAGAATATTACGTAGTCGCTCCTGTGTCTGGTTCGTCAACGAACGAATTCGCGATAGTCAGTCCCTACAACAACGTGACGGTGCAAATGATTTTGAGCAGCAATGTTATTTTCAACGGTGTAAGGTACTCCAACGAACTGAACATCACTCTACAAGAGAACCAGGTCGTGCAGTTCCAAGGATCCTCTCTGACTGGGACCAGGGTACTTTCAAGTCAACCTGTGGCCGTGTTCAGTGGAGATCGGTGCATCGCTGTTTATACAGCTTGCAATTTTGTGACAGAGCAGCTCTTGCCAGTATCACAGTGGGGCTCCTCTTACCTGGTCTTCCCTGTGTCCATCAAGTCAACAAACGACAGCGTCATAATCACCTCGCCTACAAGCGCGAGCGTCAGTGTCAATGTCAGTGTCGCTGGGAATTTAACAACCTACACGTTGACTAATTACGGTCTCATCAGCGTACCTGTATATGCAAACCAGACTTTGTCTATTAACTCATCTGTAAACGTAGGGGTCATGTACATATGCCAGGGTGGGTCTACAACTCTATGGTATTCCATGGACCCGTTCCAGATGAACATCATACCGACCAGCAAGTTCTCTAACATGTACCTGTTTGCGACTCAACCAGATTTTATGAACATTTTAATCGTGATCGCCAAGGATGTAGACAAATGTGGGATCGTCATAAACAACGGGACACTGTGCAATGAGATCCAGTGGGTCCGGACAAACGACCTCCAGTTTGTGGCCGGGGAGCTGAACCTGGGTGGTGGAAATCAGCAGTTCCGTGTGGAACACGCGACTCAGCCGTTCGGGCTCTACCTCTACGGGGTGGCAGACTCTGATTCATTTGGCTACGTCCTCGGCTACGGCAACCTAAGAGGTAACTAAACGCTGAGCATTTGTAACAAGATCAGCCAGACTTGGAGCATCGCAAATCTAACTTCTGCTACTACTACTGTTATTATTCCACTAATATACACGACGCCGTTACAACCCCCACCACCATTCTCACCACGCCCCTCCCAATTTGTGACCTCGCCCACATTTGATTGGCGTCCTGGTAACCGCGGTGCAATGACGTCACAACGCCTGTCACATTACAGCCCCTCCCCCCCTGGTGGATGGGCTGAGACTGTGCACAATTGAAGTTGTGGGTTGGGCCGAGGCGACTCCCGCTGTGACTCGTCCACTTGGCTTGAATATTTAATTGACAAGCGGCTTCTCACGTGTTATCCTCGCACGGAGACCCAGAGATGCACAGATACCCATGGTCTTCTACAGAGACCCACATACTCCTACAGATATCCACAGACTCCCACAGACCCATGGACCTACAAAGAAACCCTGAGATATACAAATACCCATGGACTTCTACAGAGATCCACAGACTCGTACATATACCCAATGACTCCCACAGATACCCACAGACTCGTACAGATACCCACTGGCTCCCACAGAGACCCGCAGACTCCCACGCCACGTGGGGGCGTTCCTCCGCTCTCGTTGCCAACCTTTTCCACGCCGCCCTGTTCCTGCGCCATCTCTCTTTCCGCTCCTTGGGTCACCACGATCCCATCGCACCACCACATCGCACCACCACATCGCACACCCCCCCCCCCCCCCCCCCCCCCACCAACGCCACCTCTTTTTCTGCCTTTCTTCCTCTCGATCCCCTTTCCATCAACTTGCATCGCTCGCCACCCTTTGACCCAAGCGATGTTTCTGTCGCCTCTCAAACACGACCGAACCACACCCAGAGCCCGTCCCCCTTCTCTCATCTCTGTCGTCTCCTCTGTGAGATCCACCGCCTCGAGTCTTCCTCTTGCTTCTTCATTTCCCACCCGCCTTGACCTTTGCTTTGTCACGCACCAACATCCACCGCAGCATCCTCATCTCAGCGACCGACATGGCTCGGCCTCACCACCATCTTGTACTATATGAAGTATGGGAATTGACGGCAGGAACTTCTTGACGGGAACACACTTTTTATTAAATCTTTACGTGTCAAAATACAACGTGTAGTCTCCTTTCTTCCGACTTCACACTCCACTACTCTCGTGTAAACTCTAGGCCTCTGGCTACACACGATACCCTTCACTCGTGTAGACCCTATGCCTCTGGCTACACAATACACTCGACTCGTGTAGACCCTATGTCCCTGGCTACACACACTGCATTCGGCTCGTGTAGACCTTATGCCTATGGCTACACACACTACACTCGCCTCTGGGTTACACAGAGTCCCGGTCCCGTTAGGACAGCGGGACTAGGTACCGCAGGGCCCTAGGTCTTCATCCCCGTCTTCATTCTTCGCTGGTTACACACTGCCCTCACGCCTGTGTGCATCCCCTTTTATAGCCCCTGCTCACGAGAGACGGAGCTGATGCGTACGTCAACGTGAGCATCGCTCCTTAAAGAACCAATCACGATGCACTCTCTCTACGATCCGTTTTCCCCAGCGCGTGTTAACACTCCTCCACCAATCACACCGCGCTGCCACCCGATCACTCCCTTTTAGCACGTCACCGGCCCACAGCCAATCAGTACCCCGTAACCCACGACCCCGCGCTGACCCCTGATCCTCCACCGTCAGCGCGCGTCACCACCTACACAGCCAATCATTACGCGCTGGCATACGATCTCTAATCCCAGCGCGTATCACCTCTACATATACATTACACTACAATACACTACCCTACTATACACTACACACTACTATACTATACACTACACTATGCACTACACTATACACTGCATAATACACTATACAATACACCACGAAACACTTCACCACTATACATTACACTATACACTACACTGCTATACACTACATTATACACTACACTATACACTACACTACTATACACTACACTGTTATACATTACACCACTACACTACATTATACACTACACTACTATACACTACACTACTATACACTATACCACTATACACTACACCACTATACACTACACCACTATACACTACACTACTATACACTACACCACGAAATACTACACCACTATACATTACACTATTCACTGCTATAAACTACTATACGCAACACTACCATACACTACGCTACTTTAGACTACATTAAGCACTGCACACTTTTCCCTTCAACCAAACTGGGACCCTCTCATCGCACATCACAGCCGTCATCTCTCGCCATTTCAGCCATCCAGCCCTCGTCCTTGCTCTCAGCCCTCACGCTCGCCGCGTCTAATTGCGCCTTTGGAACATCTTCATGCATCTCCCCACGTTTCCTGGCTAATTTTTACATTTTTTCCCATTGGCTTCCACAAATCTCTTGGTGTGAGAATAGGTTTTCACCTTTTTTCTGGCAAATTAAACAAATGCATTAAGATGTTAAAACACCAAACTGAAACCTTTGACAAGGAATCGTGTCTGCATTAACCAAAATACCTGTGGTCAGAATGCAAACAAAAAACATACTCTGATAATATATGCATTGTCTTTGAGACAGCTTTCTTTGGAGCCTAGTCTCAAAAGGTGTTAGACCAGAGGACGCCAAAAGGCCTTTAGGGGAAAACTTATTTTCATATTTTGGTACAGGCAAAGGAGGTCCCAAGATGTAAATCTCTTGGTGACTGATGCCAGCTTCAACAAATCTCTTGGTGTCTCTGATGCCGGATTCAATAAATCTCTTGGCGACTCCGATGTCCTCTGCCATTTTACGATACGTTTAGTAAAACTCCGTAACTAAAGAGTATCCCGCGATGCTCTAGGCGCCGTCTGTCGCGTGAACCTCGCCGCCGCGAGCGGCACCATCCAGTTCACCGATTTACTCGCGAGACCCAACGTCGGCGACTGCCTCTGGACCATCACTGGCGCCGTGGGGGCGGCCATTATCCTTCGCTTTCAGACGTTCAGGTACGAGGGGGCGGGGGGGGGGGGGGATAGGTGCACTCACTCTGGTCTCCAGGTTTACCCCCACGTCACGACCCGCTTCGGGCTATTAGAGTCCGCTCCGCCGATGAGCACGGATGGCCTTCGTACGATGGCGGTGGAGGTTCAACGTAGGCGTGTGCTCATGCTAGAGGTTGTTTTTGGGGTTAGAGCGCGTAAGTACAAACGTCGGTTTCACACCTAGTAGGCTTTCGCCACCAATATCATCCATGACGGAGGTTTTTTTGGGGTTATATCGCCACCACCCGACACAACCAATTAGTAAGGTTTCGTGTCACGTAAACAGAACGTGGCTAATTCGTTACTAGTACAGCACGAGTGTGTAGTGTAGTGTATAGTGCAGTGTATAGTGTAGTGTGTTGTGTAGTGTTTAGTTTATAGCGTAGATTTACAAATCTGGCTGTCGCCTGATGAAGCTAGTTCTAATTACTGGCTAAACGTCATACTCAGATTGTGAATGTTGTGGCATGGCTCTCCAACACACCGGTTGGCATGTTGTGCTTACATGACAAACCTTACTCATTGGCTTCGTCCGGTGGTGGCGGGTTTAATGACACTTTTATATATTTACGCGATCTGACCCCAAAAAACCTGTATTATGGAAGTATAAATACATCATAACCTCCACCACCCAACACAGCAAGGTTTGTCACGTAAACAACGCTCCAGCTAGTTACTACTTCAGCCCACCGGTTTGTTGGAGAGTAAAGTGCATTGTAAATCCACACATGTAGCCTGTTCCCCTATAACGCGCAGTTTTCATGACGGGAATCGGACATGAATGGATTACGGAACAAGTTTTTTATAACGCGGATGCGAATTGGAAATATGAACGCGATCGAGCTGACGGAACTACGTCGAGCGAGGTGGGGACAAGCGGTCGTTAGGCTGCCTTGGTGTAGCATCATCACACACTCCACTTGGATGCTGCTGGATGCTTGTCGATGCTACACAAGCACCTCAATCTCTGTTCGGCCTTCATATGCAACTCACACGTTGTCGTGGGCTGTGCTTTACCCTATATTATTCATTACAATGCGGTGTTCTTCAACAAATGCAACTGCCGCATTGTCATAGGACAAACTGTCACGTACAACATACATACCGAGAATAAAAATACAAGTATAGAGAGTAAAAATACAAATATATATGGCCACCACTTTTTTTGGTAGCGGACATCTTTGATTTCAGCTAGATTTGCTGTATCAAGTGAGGCCTCACTTGATACAGCAAATCTAGCTGTGATGGTCCCACCTGATGACGGAGACTTGTGTTGCCTCCGAAACGTCGTGATTTTTGTTTTACTTTTATTAATTTTATTTTTAAAAAATTCCTACATGACTTTACCGAAAATAAAACCTAAGAATACAAGTATATATGGCCACAACGTTTTTTGGTGGCGGATATCTTTGATTTCGGCGGACATCTTTTATTCCAGAGGCCATCTTTTATTTGTAGTGTAACTAACGTTTTGTGGTTTTGAAGCGTTTGCGGCCATAACGAGAGCTCTGCTCAACGTAAGAATAGGTTTTACCCTTTCTGGCAATAAAACAATTGCGTTAAGATGTTTAAACACCAAACAAAAACCTTTTGCAAGGAATCATGTCACTGCATTAATCACATACTTTGTGGTGAACATGCAAACTAAAAACATGCTCTGGTAGTATAGGATGGTGATGCATTGTCTTTGAAACTGATTGGTCCATAACACCAGAAACAGCTTTCTTTAGAGCCTAGTCTCAAACGGCGTAAGACCAGAGGACAACGCCAAAAGGCGACCAGCGCCGGGACAATGCCACCGTCCGGGCGTATCACAGCAGCAGCTCTCCGCTGTCCGTGTCTGTGAAGTCTGCAGACGGGCGCCGAGGTCGTCTACGTCTACGACGGGCCGTCCATGGACTCGCTGCTCCTGGGGATGTACGGCCACGATGGCGTCCCGGCTCCCATCATCTCGTCCTCCAACACCTTGTCCATAAGGGCCACGTACGACAGGAGGGGAATCGTCGGCAACTTCAGCGCGTTTTACAGGGGTGAGTTTTTTTTTTTGTATGCCGGTTTGTTTGGCTGTTTGTTTGTTTGTCTTGCTGCGATAAGGCGGTGAGCCCCTCGCTTGGCGCGTTGAGCGCTCCCACGCGGTGGCGAGACTCCGGCCGAGGCTCCCGCCGACCGCCACGTTCGTTGTCCTTTTGCGTCGCTGCGCCGGTGGGAGCTCGTCCACCTTCCGATGTTAATTGTAATTTTCGGCTCTCTGATTTTGCATTAACAGGTTACATTTCTTACCCTAACACAGACACCTAGCTCACCGAGCTTCAGGTTTTTTTTGCTTTGTGATCCTCCATTAACGTGGTGATCTCTCACAGGAACATGGCCACCTCAGGGCGCCCGCCATGGAGGCCGCTCAACGATCTTACATTAACATGCTGATTTTTACTGGGCAGCCCTTTGATTGGTGGGCAAACCTCGTGGGAGCGCTGCCCACCACTCACATTGACATTGGCTGCTGACATTTGGGCAACGCCCATTTCAAACCTTTATAAACAGTTTACCTTTACAAGCTAACCCCCTCTTCCTGATGACGAACGCTTGCGTTGCGTTCAAAACATCGTAGTTTTTTTGTAATTTTTTGGTTATTTTCTTTGAACATATCTATGTGACTTTACCGTGAGACCCAAAGAATACAGCATCTACATATTCAAGCGATCTAACCCTCCACCACCACCACCAGTGGGGTCACCGTGCAGGGAGACGCTCGTCGGAGGCCAGGGATCGCTGTCGTCCTCTAACTTCTCCGCGGCCGGCGAGAGGAGCGCCCTGTGCCGGTGGACCGTCCAGGTGGATCCCAGATACGAGGTCAAGCTGAGGTTCCAGCAGTTCAAGTGAGCTCTCGATTGGGGAGGGGCGGGGGGGGGCTCCGCAAGCCATTCCGGGCTCCGTTGTTTGCGCTCCACGTTCCAGCGGCCACGGCTTCTTTGCTTTGGTGAACGGTACACGTAGGGTGCGGTTAGAAGTTCGGCACGCGCTACACACCGTACACGACTACGCTGCACTATACACTACACGCGACCATATGCAACAGTACGTGTGTGTGTACATGTGTGTACCTGTGTGTGTGTGTACTATATACTATACTATACACGGCATTGCTATACACTACACTATACACGACTCTGCCCTTCTATACGTGTGTAATGCGAGCGTATGTGGGGTTTCGCCGCCCCAGCCCCTAAGCCAACCAGGCGTCACGAACCATCGGGGGCAGGGTCTAA